GGATAGTTCTAGAAAGCGGAGGGCGTGAGAATGGTCACGTGATCTCGCTGACGCAACAATACTATAATATCCAAAAGTGTTAGACATACATTAACCAATGACCTTTTAACTCCATGAAACATGGCAAATGGATTTTAATTATGATAAATGCAAGACATGTTTACTCATTCAGCTATCTTGGATCAGCATGTTTACACATTTAGCCATTTCGGATCAGTGCTATCACACAGTTAGCCATCTATATATTTACACGTTACTTGTCTGTTGATCTATTCATTTACACCTACCATCATGAATAATGCACTAGATAGATAATTATTGAACATTTGAATGAAATACGTACAACTCGAAAACAATTGGTTGTCGCTGTTTCAAACACCAGACGAATCAAGTTATAAAAATAATATATAAGTTTGGAATTGGAAAAGAATGGCGGTAGAATTTATAGGGTGTGTGTGTGTGTGTTTTCTTAAAGCAAAGCTACATCGGGCTATCTGCTGTGTGCACTGAGGGGAATCGAACCCCTGATTTTAGCATTGCAAATCCGAAGACTTACCGCTGTCCCTCCGAGGGACAATTTGCAGAAATAATAGTGTTAATTAATAAATGCAATATAATGCATGTGGGTCATCATAATATGAATTATAAGTATAACTTGGAAGGGCATATCTTTAACAATGTTATGAAAGAAAGAGATCTTGGTGTAATGGTTGATCAGACTCTTAAGCCATTCAAGCAGTGTGCTGTTGTTCGTGGTAGGGCAAATAGGATTTTAGTTTGTATCTACAGAAATATTGAATATAAGTCTAAAGAGGTTATAATTTCATTGTACAGGTCATTGGTTAGGCCACATTTGGAATACTGTGTTCAGTCTTGGGCTCCTTACCTTAGGAAAGACACTGAATTGTTGGAAAGGGTTACTAGAATGGTGCCTGGGATGGAGGGGTTGTCATACGAGGAGAAGCTGTGACCTTTCAAATTGTTTTCTCTTGAAAAAAATAAGAGATAGAGGAGATCTGATTGAGGTGTTTAAGATTGTTAAGGGAATTGATAGTGTTGATGCATCATCTTTTTTCATACTTAATGGCGAAAATAGTAGGACTAGGGGACACAAATATAGGAGTCAACTTCAGCTAAGACAGATTTATTTTTCTAACAGGGTGGTTGGCCTTTGGATGTAGAGGGAGTAAATTTAAGTGAGTTTAAGAGAAAGATTGATAAGTATATGAATGATAAGGGCTGGCCTTAAGATCTTTTTAAACTTATTTATTTAATAGTTTTAGTTTAGTTTAGAGAATGAAACAGCCGCGATGGACCAATAGGTTCCTTATTGTCCCAAAACATTATGTTATGATTAATATGTCTATCGTTGGGTGGGTTATTTTGGATTGTATGGCAAAATAATGCCAAGTCTAGTCCACACACAATATAACAAATTTATTTATTTATTCAATATGTGAATGACGTTTGTTACAAACTGCGTTCACTTGTAATCCTAATTTCATAAAATAACTTTCTATCATAAACACCGAAACTTATGTAGGCCTAGGTTAAAATACAACATTTCAACAAATATTCCGAGATAATGGTATTTACGCCTAACTTATTTGGCTTAGATCGATAAATTAACACACCAATTCACTGAGTAACTGACTAGTGGAATAGACACGATAACTATCTCCGAATAACCTTTCTGACATCGAACTACAACCTAGTTCCCAAGTTTTTATGTCTTTAGGGTTTTTTTTTGAAATAAAAATAGATATTAATCTGCTATAAGAAATCAAAGTTCCTAATGTTTATTATTTTACTTTTACTTACAATTATTCATATTCATAATCTTTGTTTGTTTGTAATTAAGCACAAAGCTACACAATGTGCTATCTGTGCTCTGCCCACCACGAGTATCGAAACCCGGTTTCTAGCGTTGTAAGTCCACAGACATATGGCTCGGCATGGCCAGGGGGTTAGGGCACTCGACTCGCAATCTGAGGGTCGTGGATTCGAATCCCCGTCACA